GCTGTTTGAAAAGCAAATAAAAGCGTGGGAACAACAGCATTAGGTAGAAGTGTCAATAATAAATTTGGTGCTTTAGAAATTAAGTGTCCAGCAAAACGAGCCATGTGAGTCTGTGAGAACCAGCAGGAGCAGGGGTGGCTCTGGTGGAGAGAAGAATGCACTTCTGGTGGCAAAGTGTTTTGGATTCGACTCCCCTACTTCTTCAGTGACCAAAATTTCTCGGAATATGAGAAAAAAACCCAAACAAATAATCTTCACCTGTAGGTGTGCCTAAAGGACAACCTTGCAAAAACAGAGACCGTGTTTATCATTCGAGTACCCCTTCCAGTCCCCAAAGTCACCATGGGTACCTAATAAATTTTGGCTCTTGTTACCATCGTGCCATCAATCTAGATTTTAAAAATGAATTTTCTATAGTGAAAGACGTTTTCTGATATGGCAGCACATCCCTAACTAAACTCATGTAGCTATCGGTAGTTTCAACTCACTGACCCAATATTTGGTCTAAAATTTTTTCCAAAATGTTTCTTCTCCTTCCTCCTTCTTCTTTTGGTTTTGTTTTTTGTTTGTTTGTTTGTTTTGTTTTGTTTTGAGACAGGTTCTTGCTATATAGTTCGGGCTGGCCTTGAACTATCTGTATAGCTCAGACTGACCTTGAGCTGGAGGTGATCCTCCTGCCTCAGCCTCCCAAGTGCTGGGGTTACAGGCGTGCACCACCATGCTTGGCCTAAATGCTCCTTTAAAAGAACAGTTTCTAATAGAAAATATTTCTTCCCAATCTCCAGCTCCAGTACAATCATATAAGTAATAATTAAGTAAATCATACCCTGTGTGTATTTGCCCAGAGTAGAGTTTTGCCCAGCAGTCTGAAATGTTCCCACAAACTTTTATGGCTTGCTGGCAAAAACTTAGCATTTTAAAGTAGATGAAAAGTGAAATTCTAAGAGCTTTATAGGAAACCTTCTCCTCTGAATACTGTGCTTTATCTGTCTGATTTCTGAATTCTTGGCTCATCTTCTAGTGTTTACTCTTTTCTTGGCCAATTAACTGTAAGGGAAAAAGAGCAAGATTACCACATTGTGCAGTTCTCTAATCTAACACAAGAGGGCAGGTTTTCCTTTATTTTAAAACTAATTCCATCGGCTAGTAATTAAAATGGTCATCATGCTAATTGCAAATTCAGAAACACTCAATAACATACAGACTAAATGAGTAATCAGAGTGTGTAACTTTGGCAGTGAAATCTCTATTATTTTAATAAAGAAGGCCAGGCTCAGGTTTTTCCACTTAGCATTATTTACAACACAGAGAACGATCGTATTTGAGAGGCACTGGGAGGTTTTAGCATACGTTTGTACACTGCCACAGGAGCAAAGGAAGAGGGACCAAATTCAGGCGTATTCTGTCTGGAAAGTCTGACTCGAATTGGTGTGTTAAATAGCACAGGTAGGTCCATGGCTTCTACAAAAGGATATAATCTTGGTAAAAATATATATAGCACACGCAGGCCTTGAAATGGGACTTTGTATTTTTGTTTGATTTGCTTTGTTTTAGAAAACTTTATCACACTGTATAGCTCACAATTTTCTTGTGTGTTATTTTCCAGACTTCACTGAACTATCTGCCAAATCCTAATTACATTTTCCCCTTAAACTGGAGTGGTGGCGCACGCTTATAATCCCAGCACTCCGGAGGCTGAGGCAGGAGAATCGTTGTGAGTTCGAGACCAGCCTGGGCTACATAGTGAGTTCCAAGTCTGTCTCAACTACATAGTGAGACCCTGTCTCAAAAAAACAAAACAAAAAACATTTTCACCTTGAGGTGCTGTGACGGTCAAAGTGAAAGTATAGTCACCCCTGTCTGAGGCACATCATCTTTCGGGAGTTTTAACTGAGCAAGGATGAAAATATTTGGAGGAAGACTTTCATCTGCACAGGCTATGCATGGACCTCCGTCATTCCTACACAGCACAGTGCTGAGAACGGTTTGCATAGCGTCTGCCTCTGCTTGTTTTTGTTACAAACAACCTAGAGATGATGTAATGCCCTCGCGAGTTACAGAAGGGTGGACATAGGTTATACGTGAGAGTTACGCCACTTATATAAACATCCGTGGATCTGGGTGTCCTGGGATGACAGGGCCTGAACGAATACCCCACGGATCCCCAGGGCCAACTGTTCTGAGTCATCTATGACGAGTCTCCTAAAGTGAGGCTGCTCTGGCCCATCAGGAAAAGAAGCGCTGTTTGCCTGAATAAAGAATTTGCCCACTAACTTTTTCACTAAAACGAGGATTTTAGGATATCAGGCACTAGGGGGCCCCCAAAATAACACTTAAGGGAGGACTTAAGGGAGAGGTAGGTGGAAGTCTTAATTTTCCATCTTATGTCCTATCACCAAGGCCTGCTGATGGCGGGAAGAAGGTGCATCTGGAAGGAAAATGCAACTGAAATCCCTTTGTCTGGATTTCTTGGAGTCAAATTCCACCTCCTAGAGGTGCGACTCAAAATCTGAGGGGCGGAGGGCTGTTACTCTCAGGGCAGGGTTATACGACCCCACTCTCCTGCGTTTTATCCAGCACTTGTTAGAACACATGCCTCCGAGCCCCTGTGAAAAGTTGTGCTTTGAGACTGGCTTACTCGTTCATTCAAAAAGTATTTATCAGGTACTGAGAATGAGCACAGAACTGCAGAAATAGGAAGACTCCGACCTTGGGTTTCGTCATTGCACTGGAGAAAGTTATACCTTCCTACCCTGGGGTGGGGTGGGGGGCTGGCTCTCTTCGCCTGTGTCGATTAATCTGAGCATATAAGTCAAGGTGCTTCGATGTAAAGACTGTGCAGCAACACAGAGAGGTGGAAGCAAGCGCTGCATAGGTACCACCGCGCTGGCCCCACCTTCCTCCTCTAGGCACAAGTGGAGTACCTGCAAGCTACTGCTACGGTGGCCCAAAGTGGTCATTTCCTCCTAGGTTAAGTCACTGGACTGTGGGATGATGGGTAAGAAACTCTCACCTGGGGACAGACTGGCCTCTCCTTTTCCACCTGTACTGCAGGGTTCCAGGAAGGAGCAATTGCTTAGAAACCCACCTGAGAAGTGGCGTATCCATTTAAGAAATGGTTTTTAAAGTGACGAGTCACACATTTTACATGTATGTACTGCATATGTCAGTATACATGTGTCACCGCGCCCAAAAGATGAGGCCTGAGGTGAAAGCTAAAAAACAGTTATTCCTCAGAGGTAAATGACAACCTGCAAAACATCACTGATTTTTATCTTCCTCTTTAACAAGTCTTCTACTACTGGTTAATGTGAAGTTATAATTAGTCATTAGAAGTATTACAATTAATAATGTTAAAACCTAAGCAAGATGTAAATTAGTGGTAAAGAACTGTAGACTTAGAAGAGACGCAAAATCACAAATCAAGGGAAGGGAAGATATTGCTCAGTTTCATTTCACTTCTGAATGTCAGCCTCATAAAAGCATTTCTATTGAAATTATACTTCATATACATACAGTTTTTCAATACAGGAAATAGAAGCATAAAAATAATCTGTTCATTTTCTTTAAGGTTGAATTTTTCCCACATTCCTGAGACAGTATAGCCCTGCAATGTTCAGTGACATTTACTGACTTTATTTGCATTATATTCAATGTAAGTAAATACCAACTTTTTATTCTGCAAGCTTATGCTACCTTTAGAGTTCTTAAAAGGCATTCTTTGTTGATTTATTGTAAGGTTAGAAAATGCAAGAAATTTTTATTCCCCTTGAATGGTGATATTAGGAAATTGTTTCTTTTAAGGAAGACATTATAAAACATAATATTTGCAAAAAGTTGCACACACTATAGATAAAAGCAGCTAAGTATAAATGATGAATATTTATCTCTACTTCAGATAGATCTTGCTTTAACCAAATCTTATGAGAATAGAATTAAGAAAATTCTGATATACAATACTGGGAAGATAAGCTAGATCTGATTATTTGCTTTGTAGAACTACTCACAACAGTTCATCTATTAAAAAGTGATTTCCCCTGGTGCTTTTAACTTATACTTGATTTATACATAACTTTACAGGCACATACCTACTACAGAGAATTATATCTTTATTTTAATATATGTCTCTTTTGTTTTAAAAACAGGATGTAAAGATGTGTTCCCAACAGCCTCAACCTTCCAGAGAGGTCCATGAATGACCATTGCTTCATGGTCCTCGACTGCTCTGCAGAGCAGGGACTGAGTTCTATGCTTGTGACAGCTTCCCTCTGTGCAGGACACTGCTCATTATTCCTGCACCTCCTCTCGGATACACCCATGACTTTATGAGTCCTGGATTCAAATTCAGCTCCAGCGCGGCACTGTGCATTTCTCTGGCTTTAGCAGTTCATTACAGAGGGTACCACTTGTCTTACTGAATTTTGCATCCCCTTGGTCCCCACATACAGAGAAGGCAGCTCAACAGCCCTTTTTTCATCCCTAATATGGAGACACATCCATCCCTGTAGGGAGAGGCCAAACAAGTTACCACGGACCCCCTTTGAAATTTCAGGCTCACTTCTGATGTACAGATACCAGATAGGAGCGGAAGAAATTTGCCTTGAAATCTCAATAACTGTTAATTTCGCAGAAGTGGGGACCATCATGATAAATCTGAACACTGTAGTAAAAATGGCTCATTCTTCTTTCTCATAATCTGATAAGTTCTTAACAAAACATGACAACCATTCCAAATTATTGTATCTTTAACAGGCAGATTTTTGTTGAGTAAGACACTATTGATTCTCACCAATAAATAACAATCAGTACGGGGCAGCTTTCATGAATATCTACAGTCAATGCTTTTGAAGAAGTCAAATGCATTCTATGTGAATAATTTTTCATCTTTATTTCCAATTTGTAAATAAGGGGGCGGTGGAGGGGGTGAAGGGAGAGCAGGGCAACAGGGGAAAAAATAAAAACCAAGGTAGATTATGTAAAGGTACAAATTTCCAATGATGAATGTCATTATATTGTGTATATAAAATGTGCCAACAAAATTAACTTTAAAAATTTTTCATCTGAGGCTACATAAGTAACAGAACTGCTCTAGGATCAGCCAGATGGACCTCAGAGTAGTGAGATTCTAATCAAATCATCTCATGTTCAGGATTATAGCTTCAGCAACCTTCTCTCGTCAGCTTTTCCTGGAAAGAGTGATTCCACAATTAAAAGGTTTGAGACCGTATATTAATTAACTAGAAAGCTTTATAACTTCATTTCCTTATTTATTATCCTTATAGGATAATGTTTATCCAGTTATTGCATCTTCTATTAGTCCTACTCTTTAAAATTGCAAATTTCAGCAGGGTTCAGTGACATCCACCTGTAATCCCAGCACCAGGGGAGAGAGGAGGGTTCTAGGCAAGAGGATCGCCATGAGGTAGAGACCAGGCTGGGCTCCCTAGTGAGACCCTGTCTCAAAAAACCTCCTAATTTTAAATAAGTTCTGCAAAGCCTAACGTGCAAAGAAAACTGAGTGGATCCTTCTACAAGAATATTCTTGGCTTATCTCATATGAAAAATAAGGCTTATTTTAGTCTTTAAGGCTGGAGAGGAAAAGACAGAGAAAGGAAGAAAAAGAAGTCCAAGGAAGATGATGCGGGCAGGAAAAACATTGCTAGAGTTATGCAAAGGATTTTGGAGATCGTCTAGTGCTTGCCACCCTGCTATGGTTTGCAAGCAGTCTGTCCCCCAACGTGTAACCTGATGAAATTTAGCCTCTGTTGTGAAGTATTAAAAGCATAGAAGCTTAATGAAATTATGGTATTCAGAAGCGGGGCCCTCAGAAAGTGACTGGGATTAGAAAAGGTCATCAGGATAGAGCCTCCATAATTGAATCCTGGATCGTGGTGCATTGTTAGGAAAAGGAAGTGAGACCAGACAGACACACGTACACACACACACGTACTCCCTGCCTCTTCCCAGGCAAGGCTTTGACCACCTTGGGACTCTACCAACAAGGTCACCACCAGCTGCAGTCTTAGACCCTTACACCTGCAGAATTGTGAACTGGTAACAACGACTTTTATTTAGAGCATTAGCCTGATTAAAGTATTTCAATGTACTAGTAAAATGCTGGCTAACGGACAGGCCCCATCTCCACACTATGAAAAACAAGACATTTGCACTGAAAAAGATTGAACAAGAATCTTCCAGGTCTCCCATTACACTGATCTACAAATTTAAAGATTGTTGCTGTTGCTGCTGTTGCTGTTGCCTTTAGAATAGTGAAAGGTTTAACGAGCATGGGAAATTGTCATCAGACACTGCGAACTTAATGTCAGCTGAACTAACCCTAAACACTTTTAGCATGAGTCTGTTAAACAAGCAAGCCAGAAATGACAGCCAAGCAACCTTCTGTATTTGGATCATTGTTTCAATAAAAGAACCTATACCAAAGATCTAAAGGAAGAAATGGATGACAGGTTGATTATTTTCCAAGTCAGAACTCAGTTTGGCGGACTCTTCTCTAGGGTAAGGTCTCTACTCCTTCGGCTTCTTCTGTGTATCTCTTGTTGCTGAAATGAGTCTCCAGTAGGGGTGTGTATCCTTTTCGGAGCCTTCTGTACTGAAGGAAAATCAGCAGCACGAAAAGACCAACCAAACCCACAAGTATTCCCATCACCACGGAGAGTGTTGTGGTCCAATTTGGAGTTTCTTCAACTGAAACTGAAGAAAAAGAGAAGGGTTATCAGCAGCTGAATACTCTTACAAAGGGAAAGAATAACCTTATTTGCTTTTCACATACACTTTTGTTGATAAAGCAAAGCTACCTTGCTAGAATACAATTTATTTTCTCTTTCCTCACCAACTATTTATCATATCCACAATTGTGCTTGCCAGGAAGTTGGAAATGGCATCTCATTATTTAAACACAGCTTATTGCATTTTAAATATTTGTTAAAATAAGTGCTTATACACAGAATAAACCCTCCAAGGAAGTATATGGCTACTTTTTAAAGTCAGAAACTCATTTGTACAAGTACATGCTCAAATAGTGTCTGGGAAATTGCTAAATATGCAGCTCTCAATTCTGCTATTCTCTCCACCACTTTTATAGGTGACAAGTGGATGAGAAAAACCAGATTGGCTCTTATAACAGGCGATGTTCAATAACAGAAGCAGATAGATCTGTCCTCAAATAGTCTTGATAAAATCTGAATTGTCCATGTGATAAATCCAATCTTTAGCTCTCATACACTATATAAACTCTCTCCCACAAGATTAATGGGTTGCATTTTTAACATATTCATCCCTCCTTGTAACTTCTTTTAAAAATATCTTTTCTTTGTCAAATTATTTTGAAACTTTGGACCTTCTGAATTGTCTCCTGGATCTACACCCTACATTCATCTAAGTGCAATCTAACTCTAATCCTTTTCCTTCAACCCCACTGAGGGCCATGGCCACCCTGACCAGATTCCTCCCAGAGAATTTTAATGCATCTCCTCTGGTTAGGACACAGAAGCACCTGTTGCTAACTTCATCTCCTCAAAACCATTTTTATTCTACCATTTCTTTGTGAAGGAAAGCACCAAAAGTAATTCCTTTTTATTACTGTCCAAATCCTCTGCCTATTTTTAATATGGTTTTTTTAAAGCTGTTGGCAACATATACATAGCATAATTTTTACGAGCTTAACCACTTTTTACACGGCTCAGTAGCGTTCCCACTGCGGTGTGGCTGCCACTTCCATCCATCCACAGAACCTTTTTCATCTTGAAAAACTGAAATATTTTCCCCACTGAAAGGTAAATCCTCCATTTTCCCCTGTCCTTGGTAGCAATACTCCTGTTCCATGAATTTGACTACTTTATATTCTCACATAACTGGCATTATGCAAAATTTGTCCTATTGTGTCTAATTTTTAATGGTTTGTTTGCTCGTGTATTTTTGTTTTTGTTTTTTGAGACAGGATTTTGCTACGTAGCCTAAGCTGGCCTCAAACTCACAGTGATCCTCCTGCTTTAGCCTCCCAAGAGCTGGGATTACGGACATGCACCACCATGCCTGGCCTGTCTAGCTCATTTCACATGGCTTAATGTCCTCAGGGTCTATATTTTTGTAGCAAGTATCAGAATTTTCTTCCTTTGTAAGAATTAATATTACATATATCTAGAACACATTGACCCATAGCATATACACACACACACACACACACACACACACACATTCACACACAGGTTTTGTTTATTCAACCAAGTACTGACAGATACTTGGGTGGCTTCTATCTTTGGCTGTTGTAAATAATGCTGTTACGAACACAAGTGTGCAAACATCTCTTCAAGACCCTACTTTCAATTCTGGGCATGGCCCAAGAAGTGGAGTTGCTGGATTACGTGATAATTGTACATTTAAGTCTCTGAGGAACTCGTGTCATGTTTCCGCGAGTGCTGTGTCCTTTAGTCTTCCCTCCGGCAGTGCTCAGGTTGCAGCCTCTTCACATCCATGCCGACTCTCATTATTCTCTGCTTTTCTGATAGCCGCTGGCGTGACAGTGTGAGACGGTCTCCAGCTGGGTCATGTGCCCAGCTTGCAAGGCTCTCCAGAATCAGGCCCTCTCACAGATCAGGCCTTAATTCACAGTAATCCTCTGCCCAGCCTTCCTCTATAATCAGGTATAATAGCAAAAGGAGCTATTTTTTTCCACTAAGATTTGATAATTTCAGCCTATAAAACAAATCTATCATGCAAAAGACATGCAAATATATTAAAAGTACATGGGAGTCATACAAGTGCAAAATTCAAAGACGGCCATCTGGTTGAAGCTTAAATACCTTCTTTAGGGGAAAAAAGGGACTGCTTCTGTGGTCACTTTTAGGGAAATGGCAAATAAGTTTTTTGGTTCTTTTTGTTGTTGTTGTTGTTGTTGTTGTTTTGTTGTTTGAGGGGGATTAATAGGGAGAGAAGAAAGGATTGTCTGAGCCGAAGTTTGCCTGGGCTCTGAATGTAGCAACAACTCGCCTTTGCTCTCTGCAGTGAAACTCCTGGAGGACCCGGCCTTTGGGTAGAACGCGGAACTTCAGAGAAAGGCCCTTCCTGCACTTTGCAAGGAAAAGAGGGGTGAAAGAAGGCAGAGAGGGAGCAGAAGATTGGGGAGAACTCGGTTCATCTTCGGCTCAGAGCATCCCAGGTGCCAACATGTCGCACTGTGAGGACTCCTTTTCTAAAACCCAGCACGCCAGCTTCTCACAGCCCTTCGTGGAGACCGCCTGTGTCATTCCCACTCCCGTTTTCCACTATTTTCAGCCTGAAACACCCTGACACCTACCTGACATCTACCAACTTCTTCCAGTTCAGGTCAAGACCCACCTCCGATAAGCCTTTCTGAATTCACTCATCTCAGCTTGACGATCAGAATGCGCCTCCCTGAAGCTGCCCCTTGATCGGAGGATGTTCTGGGCTGAACGCAGCTAAGATTCAGCAGATACAGCTAGAAGCCTTCCCAGTACTTCTTTTATCAGACTGAAAGTAACAACCCTGAGAAAGAAGGGCTACTGCAACTTTCCTCTCTTGGGGAAATTTTATGACCATGCAGAAGATTAACTCAAAACCATAAGGAGCTGCACAAGCTTTGCTGAAACAGTCCTTATCTTGTAAGCTTTTCCATGATTTTCATTGTCATTTAAAAGCTCAGACCTCTGATTCTTTGTCTTGTCACATCTCCACATTTCTTGTTCTTTGTTTGAGATGGTATAGAAGTTCTTAGCCCTATCAGCTCCTTTGAGTCTTCTTTTCTAGAAAGGTTCCCATACCACATAAAAATTAGCATCAAATTAAATTTGTCAGCCTTTTACCTGTTAGTCTGCCTGTTATCAATCTAATTTGCTGAGGACCTAAAAGGTAGAGAAAGAAATTTCCTTTCCTACTATTTATAGTTATACCTCTTCAGGAAGGATTGTAAGTTTCTTTATCAAACAATTAAGTAAACATCAGTCTGTATCTTCTGATGAGTTCATGTATTAGAGATGTATCTAAGACTCAACTTACCTTGCTGATTGTTACCAGAGGACAGAGAAACAGGATAGGATGTATATTCCAATTTATTATTATTATTATTATCATCATCACCATCATCATCATCATTATCATTATTATTAGGCCTAATCCCAGAGCAAAAGAAAGAAGCTTAAAAGATATCCACAGTGAATTCCAATGGATGGAAATTTCAAATCAGTGAGAATAATAAGAAGTAACAGGTGCAGAATTAGAAGGAAAAAGAGTGCCTAAAAGATTGTGAGATTGGAGAGAGATGGCAAAAGCTAAAATCGTCTTGATCATTTTGTAGACTAAGATTTAATAGAGAAGGGAATAAAATAGGATTAAATAGAGAAGGGAAATAAAAGTCACCCGTATACTGGCTGTGCATTTTTCAACTTCTCCACAAATTATGATGCTTTTTGTTGCTTTATCTTTCCTTTTTCAAACTGCCCTGAGGTTCTAGAAATAACATATTTATTGGGTCCAGGGTAAGAAGAAAAAACATGCATCCTTTATATACACTGATCAAAATACCCCTCCTTATTTTGAACCAATGTTAGATTTAACAAAACATCTACAATTAAAAACATGACTTAGTAATGTTCATTTTAAAATATAATATAAAGCCCTTGGCCCACATGGGGCCATCCTTGTAGACAGTAAGATACGAGCTTCCTGAAAGCCACAGATCTTCTTCCAAAGCAACATAAGTGTGCACATCAAACAAGCAACAAAAATTATGGTCATGTATTACATATTCATTAAGAATTTTTGCATTAATTTTGACCTTTTAAAATACTCCACCATATCACTACCACAATTACTGATTTTTTTTTGTTCTCCCATTGAATTTTGTATTCAAGGCAAATTCCATATTTGTTTCACCATACCAACATCCAGGTAATAATCTCTAAGTCCTGACTGTGGCTGCTTCATTTTGACTTTATCGATTAGATATTTCAGAGGACAGGTCAGTTTTTAATTAAGATGATAAATTCAGACATGTATCCAGTCAGGTGTAGGAGTAGATAGTTGCTCTGTGGAATAAGGTCTCTTAATAACTTTCAGTTATCTGAAGCAAGAGTCTGCCAACTAGTCCCTTTCTGAAGTTTAATTGTCAGTTTAATGGCTCCTCTTATTAAATACTTATATGCCAGAAAATAGCCAAAGAACTTAACTAGACTGGAGTGCTTCAATTAAAGCCCTTGGTTTACTTTTAACAGAAAGAAAGTGAGCCTCTAATAGTTGAGTGAATCACCCACTTAGCTGCTGAATTAGTTACCTGACAGATCAATAGCGTAACTATAGCCCAGTTGGTCTGCGGTTAGAAAGAGCTCCTTATTAGTCACGGGAGGGAAGAAAGGGACCATGTTAAACATCCGATTGTGGCCAATGGGTGCCAACTCCTGAGGCCAGGCATCTGCAGCAGGCTTGTATCTCTTCATCCACTCCTCAAAGATGCTATCGGTGAAGGAATGCAGGACCTACAAGGCAGTTGAACAGGTGCTTAAGGTTGATTGCTCTCTTCTGATCTACCAATCCAACTGGAACTTTGTCTGCAGAGGAATGGAGTTCCCCTAACATGAGAATCCTCTGTATAACCAGTCTACCTTGACGACACACACACACAGTGGCATTTTTTACCAAGTTTTAAGGACATGGGCACATATATCTCCAAACAGGATTGTAAGGCCTTCCATCAAGTGAACAAATGAAAGTTCATGCTGCAGATTTAAGATTGCTCGGGGAGAATTTAAGGCCTTCCGCATGGGAGTGCTAATTACTAATATCAGAAAAAAGGCAAATATGATAAGATATATATTCCGTTGCATTGCATTAGTGGGGAACAGGAAGTTGGGGCACTCACAGTAGTGTAACATCAACATTCAGTAAAAAATAAGAAAAAAATCTCCAAAATTGATTTTCAGATTTTCCTTATTAGGAACATCCTTCTATCTAATCATTGTCTAATTCCTCTCTTGAATTGTTGGAACTATTCCAAAACTAGAGAATCTAAACATGTGATGTACATAGTGCTCATTTTTTATTTTCCCAAAGAAGCTCTAAAGTCCTTTTCAAATATAGCAAACATTACATGGTTTTAAAATCTTAACAGCAAAATTTCTACAGGAATATCGCTGACTTTGCAAAAGGATGTAAGTGTGAGAGTTCAGTCCAACTTTATATCTGGCAGTTAAAGTTCATCTTTTAATTCTAGACTACAAGATCTGGGATCTCAGGGACAACGTTTTGTTTTGTTTTGTTTTTTATCTTCCTCCTATATCTCAGGGGTTCTCACCCCAGGACAATCCAAATGAGAGAAATTCAGCTGTCCTGAGGCAGCCATGATGGGAGGAAGCCCATACCAACCCACACAGAGAGACCACATGGAGAAGCCTTGAGATTTCAAGAAAAGACAAAATAGACTGGCCAGCCCACAGGTGTTCCAACACCTGTCACCCTCTGACTGCAACTGCATTGATAGGATCCTGAGCCAGAACTGCCTAGGCCATCCTTCCTGAATTTCTGACCCATAGAAATCCGAAGAATAAAATAATCATTGGTGCTTTGAGCCACTACATGTTGGGACGATCTCTAATGCCGCAACGTGTGATCAAAGCAGAGGGAAAAGTCCTAACTACAGCTTCATGGGATCATGCTCGCTCCAGTACTAGTAGGGAAAGCAGGTTCTGATCCCAGAGGAGAGGAAAGAGGTGCTGGGGGTGGGGAAGGCAGTGATGAGACTTGAGGCGAAGACACAGCCCATGATGTAAAGATCAAAGAGAGGGCTGCAAATGTCAGCAGGGCACAAGGCAGTGAGGAAGAGGAAGATAAAAATGCATGGGAAACATCTACCTCAAAGCCTCTCATGTAGAAATGTTTAGTGAGTAGCTGTTTTCACTGTGACTATACAGTCAGTACTGTTTTTATTTTAATTTGAAACAAGGACTTAAATGAAAAGTGAAGGAATTTATATGCTTGAAGCACAGCATACAGGGACTGCTGTGCTCCAAAATCATATACTTTATATATATAACTAATATAAAGCTGGACACACACAAAAGCATATAACATGTAGCCAGCACTAAACAGAGTATTAGTAATGCCTTGTCTATATCAGACACTGCTTTAAGCATTGGTAAATTCAATCCTTAAATTTATTAGGTATTGGGCCGGGGATTTAGCTCAGCGGGTTCGGTGGCCTGCCTTGCAAGTGCAAGGATCCGAGTTCGATCCCCGATACCAAAAAAAAAAAAAAAAAAAAAAATTTATTAGGTATTATTTGCATTAGATGCTCAGGCTGCTGTAACAAAGCAGCGTAGATGGGGTGGCTCATCCATTAGATACTTATTGTCCCCCAGTTCTGGAGGCTACAAGCCCCAGTCCAAGAGGTCAGCTCAGTGGATTCTTCCTGTGTGCTGTGAGGGAGAATCCGTCCCACACCCCTCACCTAACTTCTCATGCTTTTCTGGCACTCTGTGGTATTCTTTGGCTTGGACAGCACCATCATCTCTTCTCAAGGTGTTTTAAGAGGTCTGTAGCTAAATTTCTCCTTCTTAGGAAGACATCACCTGCTATGGTTTGAATGTCTTCTCCCAAACTCACGCTGGAATTTAACTGCCATTGTAACAGTACCTAGAAGTAAGACATGTATCTGAGGGTCTAACCTCATGAATGGATTAATGGCGTTATTGTGGGAGTGGGCTCAGCATTCTGAAGTAGTTTCTTGAAAGAACTGATGATTTCTGCATGATTTTCCCTTCTCTATAGAGCACATTCATTTGCTGTTCCCAGTCCCTCAACTGTTACTGTGTTATGATACAACACGAAGGCCTTCAAAGATACTGGTGCCATGCTCTTGGACTTCCTAGCCTTCAGAACTACAAGCTAAAAGAAAGTATTGTTTATAACTTACCCAGTCTGTAGATATCTGTTACAGCAACAGAAAATGGACCAAGAATCCATTTATTGCAGTAGAGACCTACCATCCTCCACTGTGATCCCATCAAAACAAATTACATCTGCAATTACCCTGTTTCCAAGAAAGGTCATATTCTAAGGGATTATTTCAATGTACAAATGGGCAAGGGCACAATTCAACCCATAATAATATTATCCTGTGTTATAGATGAGGAATATAAGGTGCAGAAATGTTCAGTAACTTGCCCAAGATCACACAGCTAGAATAATGTGTAGTAAGAATTTGAACCCAAGAAGACTGATTCTAAAGTTAGTTCTTCAAGCACACATTCTGCTTGCTCTACGTAGCCACACTACATTACAATTATTAATACAACCCTCAGGACCAGCTAGAAAAAGAGAAATTAATTTAAAGTTTAAAAATCTTAACAACAGGCAAAGTGTATAGAGTTTGACCCATGAGTTCTAAACCAATTAGAAACTTTTAGATACTGAGCTCAAGCTGAGGTAAAATTGTGATTACAGAAAGAGACAAGAAACCCTCAGGACACAAGAAAGGTGCTGTGTCAGTCCTGTGAGAGGCAAATAACTTTTGGACAGTTCTAGAGTCCAACCAGTGCATGCAGCAAATCATTAAAAAGGGGATGAGACTCTGAAGAATAGGAGAAATCTGATCCCAGAATGTCGAAAGCTCTAAGGTCAAAGTTTTAAGCCACATACTCTGAGAGACTATAAGTATTATACATTAAATACTATGGTATCCAATTCACAGAATGTAATTTTAAAATGTCTTGTATATCCTGAGAAGATGTGAAGAATTCAGAAAATGGTATAAAAATCCACAGCCTAGAAAGAAAAGTGGTGCAACCTATAGAATAGGAATTTTTGTTGAAGTGTAGACATTGTTCCACCTACAAGATACAAGACAATTGCTCTTGAAACACTAATTGTCTTTGTTGGTTACAAGTTGAAATTGAACTTATTTAATAACTCTGTAAAGGCCAAATGTCATTTGAAGGTAAAATACAGCAGCAGAAGTTATGTAAAAGTATATCACTGGGGTCTTTTATCTGCTATAAAGATACAGAGCTATATTTTGGTATTAGAAATTTAGTGTTTGAGAAAGGTTGTTCCAAAATTTTGTACATAGACCTATTCTACCTTGTTACACCAAAATAAAGATATGTATGAGAGAGGAAAGTACTAAATTTCACCACACAAGAAATATTACAGAAAATGTGGTTATATGGACTTTTGAGGTAAAAAATTTTAATGGAAACCTTACAGCAAGAAGAAAGCAATCAATCAACTTTATTTATTGTACTTGGGGGCATAAAGAAAATAAAGTACAAGAATGCGAGAATGCCTATTTCTCTTTTGCAAGATCATTGAAGGCTAAGGTTACCACTTAAATGGCCAACGTAGATGTCTATAAATTCAAATTCCTGCCACACTGGGGACATACGAAGAATTTCTGTACCTGAAGAAAAGAAGCCATGATAATCTGACCCTGGCTTCAGAAATGTGAATGTTATCACCGAGAGCCAGCACCCTGCAGCTTTTACAATTTGACTTCACGTGTTGCATCCTGAAGGCGTCACCCATAATCAGAACGAATCTCACTGTGGTAATCTGACACTGCTCTGATCCTCTGAGAATCAGAGTTTAAGTGAGAATTCAGACGTGACCGTGTAAAAGCCACATGGTCAGCACAGAAACAGGTGTGTGGGGGATTCCAGTTTAAAATCTAACAGAGAGCGTAAGTGAAAAGTTGGGTTGATCTTTCAAAATGAGGGACTTCCTAAACAACATTTAATCAAGCTTGTTTTATGGAAGTTTTTATTCTTGCCTTGTTTTAAAAAAAGATCTGAAACAATCTACAATGAGGAAATCGGGCTCCTATTTCCCCATATAAGCCACATGTAATAGGCATGAAAATACCCAGCCTTCTACTCAGCTGGCTAAGTTCTGTCACAAGGAGCATATTTTAGAGCAAACAAGAAATAATCTATAGACTGAATGCATGTGTCCCACCCCCAAAACCCATATGTTGAAATCCTAATCACCACCCCACCCAGCCAATGTGGTGCTGTAGAAAGTGGAGCTTTGGGCAGATGATAGGCTCCCTTATGAAAGGGAGTATTGTCATTATAAAAGAGAACAAAGAGCTGGGGGTGGTGGCACACACCTGTAATCCCAGCACTCAGGAGGCTGAGGCAGGAGGATCACTGTGAGTTCAAGACCAGCCTGGGCTACATAGTGAGTTCCAGGTCAGTCTCAACTACATAGTGAGACCCTGTCTCAAAAAAACAAAAAAGCAAACAAAAAAGAGAATGAAGAGAGCTCCTTGCTTCCAGCTATGTGAGGACACAGAGAAAACAGCCATCTATGAACCAGGAAAAAAGTCCTCACCACACACTGAATCTGGTAGAGAGCTGACCTCGGAACTCCTAGCCTCCACAACTCTAAGAAAGAAATGTTTGTTGTTTAAGCCACCCACTGTAGAGTACTTTCACTGTAGCAGTCTGAATGAACTGAGACAAAAATACTGGTAAAAGAAGAC